TATATATATATATATCTATCAGAATTCCATTTTTAATTAAAAACTAAATTTTTTCCTGTATGGTAAGAAATTTAGACATTTTATTTTTTAATTATTATTAATTATTATGTAACGTTTTCGTTACTTAATTTTCATCGTGAAACGTTTATTATTGTCAAAGTCCTGTAAAAGCTTTTTAACAGCGTTTTTCTAAAAGCGCTTAATACAAATTTCACACGTAAAAATTTTTCATTCTACCTTTTTCACGTAGTTTCAAGAAACGTCCATTAATTCTTGGCGGAAATAAGGACAATTAAAAATTATGAATTTCGCCGTGCGAATCCGTGCGCATCCCACACTGACTCGCGACTCCTCCGGTGTTTCATTATGCTCGCATCGCAACACTTCGGCGCGGAATTCCGCTTTTTCTCCAATTTTCAACGCCAAGCTCGCGTACTACACACAATAGTTCGCGCTCACGTAATCCAACTTGGAGCGTAAAAACGAGCCAGAGTTAAACGAGCCATCCCGTCAGAAATTACCGAAAGTTTCGCGCCTGTACATACGACGCGTCGAGCTCCGGATCTAAAAAAAAAAAAAGGGAGGAACGAAAGAAAAGGAAGAAAGGGAAAAAAAACTGACGAGAAAGCAAAGAAAATCGAGGCCGCCGAGAAGGGTGCGAAAGAGTGTGTAACGACGGTGTACGACTTGATCTCGAAAAGTTCTTCTCTCAACGAGATCGTCGTCTCGCCGAGAACTCCACGGCTGGTATCGAGACCCCTTCTGCGCCTTCGTCACCTTTCGTTCTTTCCTCACAAAGTCGGTCCTTCCGCGTAGAAATCGAGTTGCCGTGACAACGCGGTTGGCCGCGCTTTTGTGCGAGAGGCTGAGACGTCAGATGAAAGGGCGAGTATATCCGGATAACAAGAAGGTGCAACGTGAGGGTGTCAGCGGTCCGAAATAAAAACTTCTACTCTTCTCTTCTGGAGGGATATAAGTTTATTATTTCACATCGCGTGGAAATTACAAATTACATTCTCTAACAATTAAATGCTTTTTTTTTTAGGGAATAGCAAAAAATATACGACGTGACGAAATTACGCAATTAATTAATCTTAATTGAATTCGCACCGAAATTTCCTTAATTGATATATTCGCGGATTTAGTTAAATTAAGTATATCTCTTTACACTGAAAGAAAATTAAATTTTAATAAATATTTATTTGAATAATTCTAAGTAAATATTTATTAAATGTAGACATATATTTATTTGATACAAAAACCATTATCAATTCAATTATTATTTTTTTATTGAGTAAATATTTATTTGCTGTAAGTAAATGTTCACTTAATACTATTTAAAAAAATATGCATTAAGATTTAGTAAATTTTTTTCAGTATTACTTAAAGTTAACATAATTGAGTGATGGTTTTATTTTGAAAGTCAAATCCAAGAAATAAGATTATGTAATTTAATGTTTCACTGACCATGTACAACAATCTAAATCTTCGAACTTTAATGCAAAATCCCTTTTGCACAGAGGCACCTTGTATGTCAGCGGCGACATTAATTATAAACAATTTTTCACAAAGTAATTGAAAAAAATGTCCCGATCCATTTGATTCGCAAATACTAATTACCTAATCAGAATTAAGTAATGTCGTTTTCCTTTTCGAATTATGATCGACAATGATTATGTAATTTATATTCATTTCATTCTCTGATGAAGTTTTCGTAATCTTCGCTTCTCTGTTACAGCCGGTGCCGAGGCCACGATTGATTGATAAGCTGGTGATCGACGGGCACGTGATACCCTCCGAGGTCCTCTTCACCGCACCGACGCCAGACAACGTGCAGTATCCAACCCTCGTATTCTCCGATAATCTGAAAGTCGTCATCAGCTTTTCAAAGTCGCAAAATAAAGGTGATAATCATCGCTCGTCTACCCTACGTTTCAATCATTCAGGAAATAGATTTTGGGCCGTTGATTCGATTCATAGGGCGATAACATACAATCCAATCAAGAATACTATCATTAGAGATCGTTGCAATTATGTGCTATTATTACGTGTTATTATACGCTTTTAATGCAAGAAGGCTTTATGTGTAATAAAGCATTCATGTTTAGTAAAAGGGGCTTGTCTGTGTTGAACAGCGCCAGTGATAGATCCCTGCATATTGTATTTCGATGACTAATTGATAGTCCAATTTTCAGTCTACGTTCAATCGAACACACTGGTAGGCGATGCGTCTCACACGAACGGAGTGGTGCTGGCGGAAATAGTGAAGGGAAACATTCCGGTGCGCAACGGCGTCGTTCATCTGATAGCACGACCGCTCATGGTCGTCGACAACACCGTGCGGGGTTTCCTAGAGGTCAGTGCACAATCATCCGTCCTCAGTTTGATCCATCAGCATCCGTACCAAGTTACTGTTGATGTTTACATTCGACCGCCACGGTTATCATGTGAATTTCTGAAACGCTCTGGCGGTCGAATTACAAATGCTGAAATTACTAATTCTTTGATCAGAGATATTACATTAATTCAATCAATTTATTTACGGAATCATTTTCCGATCAAATGAATTCTGCGGCAATTAGCGCGTTAATCGATAATATCGTTTGACGCTCAATTATTAGAAGTTGAGAATAATGAAAATAATGTTGGTCAGTTTAATAGACAGCGCAAATGTAATGAATTATAATGTGCACGGTGCGTCATGATGTCGCATCATGTTGGGATTGCGCGGCCTCATCATCATTTTCCCCACATTTATTAAAGTGATTTACGTTGAAACACGGCTGTATTTTGTCAAAATGAATTGTTAAATACTACAAAGAATAATTATAGAATTTTAATATATATATGAATTTAGAGAAGTTAGTTATCGTTATTTTTCCGATGTTTTACATCGCATTCGGTCAGATAATAATATATACTATTATATACATATTAATCCTCACCTATAAGAAAATTAATAATTTCGTCTTATGCGTTAAATATAAATTCAAACATAATTCCAGCGTGTATAAGGAATATTATTTTAGCATTTTACGATGCAGATGTAAACAGATTTGCATTTAGAAAAAAAAGCAATACTATCTTCATATTTCGCGATGCAAATACTCCTACATTTGCATTCCGAACAGCGGCATATTTGTTTTTTTTTTAAATGCGTAAGCGTATTACATTTGACCGACATTTTTCCGCGATATTATCTTTTATGTTTCTCGATGAAAAAATAAAAATTCGGATGTCGTTGTAAATTGTTAAAAATCGGAATATAAAACCACCGAGTGATTAAAAAAGAATTGTTAGTAGATCTACAGATGTACCGATCGGATGGTATTAAGCTAAAAAATACTTATGATACGTTGAGCCCATGAAATATCTCCTCGCTAAAATTCATCGAGCTTTCCGTGAGTCTTCAATCATCCGCAAAATCCAGTTAATGCAAACGACACGTACGTGCGGCGAAAAAGCGACGACAATTGACCTGGAAAACCGTCTACTCGTAAAAGCATTGTGACCACGGTTTATACGAGCCGCGAAAGCAGAAGAAAAAGTCGAAATTTATAACTTCGTTTAGACCTCCTTACCTCCTGGAGCTCTTTGCGGAATTGAAGGCGGGCCTTTGTTTCGAACTCGTTCCTCTCGGAGTCCCCCATTCACGGTGGCTGTAAATGCGCGACGACGCGGTTCGTCACTGTCGAATTCGCGTTTTTTTTTTCCCCCACGAGCCACATTTGATAGCTACACACGAGAGCTTTCACAGTCAGCGAGTTGATTCTTCGTCTCGATTTCGTCGACGAGGGGTGGAGTCTTTTTCTTTCCGCGTCATCCGCCTTTAAGCGCGAGAGAAAACATCGCGATAATAATGAGAGACATAAAGCATGATGAAACACGAGAAATTCCAAACGCGTAACATCGCGGCGGATCTGTTATTTCAGAAATATATCCAACTCGAAACTCCGTAGTGCCAAGTTACACAGCGTTCAAACTTCGGAGTCCGTGAGATAACATAAGGCACACGATTAAATGTTGATACAAGAGCGACGTTCCAATTTTCGGCAAGGAGAGATCGTTCACCAAACGCGACGTTTATATTTGGCGCGCGCGATTCCAAAGTGGACGAACGGAAAGAAAGCGTTTATTTTTTTTATGTCTGCTTCAGATGTCTCTTTAGATATTCCGTGGAAGCAGCGAAGAGCCGAGATAATAATCCATGCGCGTATCTCGGAAACAAAGAGCGCGACGCTGTTACTGCGCGAGAATGCAGATCTCGCAGTGCACGCCGTGCGATGTGCACACATATTCGCGATAAATCGCGGTGCTGAGACGAAAGCACATACACACACATGCACACACGCACACGCACACACATATCTTGAATCCGTGAAAATTTCTGCGCGGGTGCTTCATCTCGCCGAGGCGACGCGACGCGACGCGACGCCTGGCGTCTATTACGAATTCAGACCGCGCGATGCATTAGAGGGACATTAGTATTCGCAGTCTCGATACGTATATCCCGACGTGACGTGTTTCGTGGAACCCGTAACGCCGACCTCAAAGGATCTGCGTCTCGCTCTCGGTATTGTATGTGGACCGTAGGGATGATAACACATCGTCTCCGTTGCCCCCTCGCGGTAATCGCTTCCGTCGTAACCGCTTGCGTAGTCAAGTACCATCGAGTACGCACACGTGCATTCCGACGTAGCATTACGTGTTATTCAACCATGAGCAAGGGTCGATTTGAATGAGGCAATTGCGAGTCACTAAGAAGGCGTATTTTCGCCCCGTGGTTTGCATTCTCTCGCAAAGTTGTTCTTTCATGTATTTTTCACTCTTTTTAAATAAGGATGTTGAGACTCTAAATTTGGAGAGGGACAAATGTTATAATTTATTTAATAATTTTAGTTAGCGAATGTCTTGAGGATCTCGCACTAATCATATGAAAAAGTAAGTTAGTTTTCACATACAATAATGTGACTTATAATGTGATGAACAAAAGTTATAGGCACAAAGCTTAGTAATAGATAGTTTTTGATTATGGTGTATCAAAAGTGCTTTGTGGACATAAATTTTATACCTTTATTGCAATATAAATAATATCAATTCTTTTTGCTCGTATAACTTACAATAAATTAATAAATAGTAAAACCCAGGTCAATACATTAAACCAGATATAGTTAGATGTACTCTAAATAATATTTATTAATCACAAATTATGCCCTGTTAAAACTTATCGTCGGAAAATTATAATTTATTAATTACTATTTATTAATTTTTTATATCTTTAATATACCGTAGCTCAAAAACTATTATCGAGCCTTGTGTCTGACATTTATTCACCACATTATGTAAGCTACAATACATTACACGTGAAAATTAATTCGTTCCCATCAGAATTTATTTTCTATATAATTATGGATGGACCTACTAATTATAGTAAATTGAATCCCAATAAAATAATATATGAGTTAGTTTTACATATAGATAATGTAGTTTATAATTTGACGAACAAAAAAGATAAAAACAGCTTTGATGCACCAAACTAAAAAATTATTAAGCCTTGCATCTTTTGTTCACTACATTATAAGCTGCACATTATATGTTAAAACGTAACTTATTTTATTGAAACTTAATTTACCATGTAATTAGTATTATATTGATGATGAAAAATAAATTAATTTTAATATAATTAAAGGGAGGTCCTTTATCAGGATAGAAATAAAGACATACGATTTCTTGTCCCTCTTTAACTTTTTCGAAACATTGAGCTGACAAGTGAAATTATTGTTCAGGACAGTTTATAACGGCACAAACGATTATGACAGTTCTGGAAGATATTTGCTAGAAAACGTTATTGGGCGATCGCCATCATATTAACTGGTTAAAGACACGTGAGGAAGCATTCGTAATTTGTATCACGGACGAAAAAGCATCGACGTCTTCGTATCGAAATAAACGGCGTGTTTGTACTCGTGATGCTGGGAAGCGGGCAGAAATGAGAAAGAGAACGAGCTTTATGACGATCATAAAGATTCTATCCTACCAAGCACTGTTGTATCGCCCTCGTGTATTGTAATGATTCTAATCTCAGCGAATTCGCAGTCGTTTTAGTACGCGGAGTTTACACGGAGCACGTACGCGTACCCGAAATAGCTCGTGATAATGTAACGAACCAATTAAACACGATAGGGCTCCTACAATGAACGCGTTGTAATTCAAGTTTTTGGACCATGACACGTTAGAGCTTAAGATAAGAATTAATTTTGAAGACTCTCGGAAGGTGTAACATTCTAGGGAAAAGATTCTTGGAGCTCAAAAAATTTATCCCAAAAGTTAATATTTTAATACCTTATCTTTGAATATTTTAATGGCAAAAAGGATAAGTTGAAATTTAAAATGAAATGTATAATAAAACAAATAAGAAAATAAGAATATTTTAAAAAATGAAATAAAATCAATACAGCATTATTGTTTTGACTAAATTTGATATTTTATTTTTGCTAACTTTATCTCTTAACTTGATTTATTAACCTTCTTTTTGTTTTATTTGCTTTGTTCACATAAATTTTATATTGATATACAAAATGCAGCCGAAAGGAAACGCAAAGGTATAAATAAAATCGATCACAAATAAGCGAGGAAGAATTTTATTTAATTGAATGCGTACAATAATACATCTTTTGATGAGGCCGCCGTTACGACGTATCGAATATCCCTCCACGGGGGGAGGTGATACACTTACATAATATATTCTGCTAATGATTTTTTACATTGAACAGCGACACGAGCCGAAAACACCGCCATTTACAGGAAACACACTCGTCCCTGCAATACACGTACAGCAATTATAACTTACATACTGGATATACTTAAGCGCAATTACTCTACTTCCGATAACAGCGTCATCGCTCGGATGGCAGAAACCTGTTAATCACAGGTGCAAGAACGAGTCAATTAGTTCAAGCTACTTTATTTAAGACACTAACAATTTCATTACTCGTGCAGGTGGCACCCTTCAAGCACAACTACTACAACTACAACTAGGTCACAATATCACTCTCTTCACAAGAATGCCTTCTTGTCAAGACAGTTTATCCGATATTTACTTAATTCGTCATGGTGTCTCGATGTCGGTATCGCGGCATTGTAGGATGATGTTAATTAAAAGTCAGTCATGTACATTTATATTGACCTTTCGTATTATCATAAACTCGCAAATCTTTAATGCTTGGATATTCAAGTTTTCTATTTTAAATGTGTCTTATTATAAATAAATTTGATGTCTAAATCTTATTTGTTTTCAATTAATAGGATATTGGATTTTTTTATGTTTATAAATATTTTGTATAAATGTGTCGACTT